AGAAAATGTTAATTCTAAAATATTCAGGCACTGTCTCCAGGAAATCTGAGATATCATGAAAAGTAAAAACCTGTGATGAGAATAGAGGAAGGAGAAGAAGGCCAGGTCATAAGCACAGAAAAGATTTTTTAACAAAAATCATAGGAAAATAATTCCCCAATTTAAAGGAGATTCTTATTAAGGTACAAGATGCATACAGAATATGAAATAGACTGAAAATATTTCCCATAACGTGTAATAAAACACCAAATGTATAGAGCAAAGAAAGGTTATTGAAAGTAACAAGGGCAAAAGACCAAGTCACATATAAAGGCAGCCCCATAAGAATGACAGCTGACTCTGAAATTCAGAAGGGCATGGACAGATGTCCTACCAACTCTGAGAGACCACAAAGGTCAGTGCAGACTATGATACATAGTAAAGCTATCAATAAAAGTTAATGGATAAAGAACATTTCGTGATAAAATATGTTTAAGGAATTTGTATCTACCAATCCAACTCTTCATAAGGCCTTTGAAGGAAAACTTGAGTCTTAAAGAAATTAACTACACCAAAAACACACATGGAATAAATAACCCTAGAACAATTAGTCAAAAGATAGGGAAACCCCACATAATAATAACAAAATTACAGGAACCAAAAATACTGCTTATTAATAACTCTTAATATTAATGGTTTCAATTCTCAAAAAGACAGACTAACAGATTAGACTAGAAATCAGGATACATGTTTTTGCTGTATCCAAGAAACACACCTCACCATCAAGGGCAGACATGACCATAGGGTATAAGGATGGAAAAGGTATTCCAATAAAATGGAACCAAGAAGCAAACAGATATAGCTATTTTAATACTTAACAAAATAGACCTTAAAGCAAAACTAATAAGAGATATGGATGCATGCTACATAGTCATTAAAGGAAAAAAATTCATCAATAAAATTTAATAATTCTAGGCATTTATTCATCAAACACAAGGGCACCTAAGTCAACAAAAGAAGCACTTCTACAGCTAAAATCATATATTGACTTGTGGACAGCGGTCGCAGGTGACAACAATACCCTATGTCAACAACACACAGGTCATTCACACAGAAACTAAACAGAAATGTGAGAGTTGAATAATGTCATAAATCAAATGGATCTAGCAGACAGAAGAGAAAATTTTACCCCAAACTAAAGAATATACTTTCCTCTCAGCAAGCCCATAAAGCTTTCCTCAAAACTGACCAGGTATTATGACACAAGGCAGGTTTCAAAAGATATAAAAATTGAAATAACAACCTGCCTTCTTTCTAACCAGCATGGATTCAAATTGGGTAGCACCACAGTAGAGAGGGCAGAAAAATGTCAAACTCATAGAAGCTGAGCAACTCGCTACTGAATGAAAATTGGTTTAAGACAGGAATCAATTTTTATCTGAGGAAAAATGCAAAGACAACCTATCCAAATCTGTATGCTACCATGAGGACAGTTCTCAAAGGTGAATTCATTGCACTAAGTATCTGCATTTTAAAACACGGAGATATTTCTTGTTAGTCACTTTCTAGGAAAACAAGAAGAAATGACAATAAAAAGGTAGACAGGAAGAAATACTCAAATTTAAGGATGAGATCCATTGAAATGGAAGTAGCACCAGCAATGTAAACAATGCAAGGAATCAGTGAAACAGAGAATCAGTTCTTTAACAAAATCTATGAGATTGATAAACTTTTGGTCAAATTAGCCAAAACACACACAGATGGTGTGTGTGTGTGTGTGTGTGTGTGTGTGTGTGTGTGTGTGTATGAGAATCCAAATTAATAAAAGTGAAGGTGAAAACAGGGATATTGGAATAGACACCAAGGAAAGTCACAGACTCATAATTAAATCTGTATTTCACCAAATTGAAAAACCTCAAAGAGATGGGATGAATTTCTTGATAATATAAAACATATTGAAGTTAAATCAAGATGAAATCAACATTTCAACAGATCCATATTCCTTAATTAAATAGATAGAAGGAATATTTACCTCCACCAAAGGAAAATGCCCAGGGGCAAATGGATTTAGTTCAGAAGTGTACCCTTCCTTCAAAGAAGAACTAATAGCAACACTTGTCAAATTATTCCACAAACTAGAAACCAAACAAACATTTTTCAGTTCTTTGTGTGAAGCCACCATTACCCTGATACCAAAACTACACAAGGACCCATCAAAAAGAAAATTGTATATATCCCTTATGAACGTATATATAAAAATTCTCAATAAAATACTTGAAAATGGGTTCAAGAATACATCAAAAATATTATCCACCACAATCAAGTTTATTTCATCCCAGAGTTTCAGAGATGTAAATCAATAAAAATAATCTGTCACATAGCTGAAAAGACAAAAACCACATGATTATCTTATTAGCTGCAGCAAGACCTTTAACAACATCCCTTTTGTGATAAAAGCCCTGAAGAGACTAGAGGTACAGGGCACATTCTTCAGCATAATAAATGCTGTTTATAGGAAGCCCACAGCTAACATCATCCTAAATGAAGAGAAACTCAAGCATTTCCACTAAAATCAGAAATAAGACAAGGTTGTCCACTATTTCCACACCTACTCAATACAGTACTTACAGCCGCAACGAGTGCAATAAGACAACCGAAGGAGAGCAAGGACATGCGAATAGGAAAGGAAGAAGTCAAAGTATCCTCATTTGTAGATGATTTGTGAATCTAAAGATTCTACCAGTAAGTTTCTATGTCTGATAAACACTTTTAGCAAAGTGGTAGAACACAAAGTTTACACACAAAATAAGTAGCCTTCCTTTATACAGATGACCAGCATACTGAGCAAGGATTAGGGAGACAATACCTTTCATAGATTAGCCTAAAGAATATAGTGGACTAACTCTAACCAAACAAGTAAAAGATTTGTGTATATATACTTGTGTGTGTGTCAATTATCTATCTATCTATCTATCTATCTATCTATCTATCTATCTATCTATCTATCTATCTGTCTGTCTGTCTGTCTGTCTGTCTGTCTGTCTGTCTGTCTGTCTGTCT